CAACAAAAATGAAAAGTAATACTAATTTAGTGTTGACGAAATAAAAAGATTATTAAAATTGAGTGAACTTTAATTTTCCTAAACCCCTTATAATTCAAACTACAATTGAAAAAAAAAAAATTCAAACTACAAGAGAGTTGAGTTGAGCCCAAATTCGTAAAATGGAATATTAAGGGCCGAAAGAAGTAAGGCCCATTAACTCCCACGGAATATATATATATTCTTAAACCAGAGGCCATCTTGTATCTACCTCTTCCTTAAACCCTAATTTCTCTTCCCCAAAAATCTCTCAATGACCACCGCCGTTTCGCCGCCGCAGCAACTAGATCCCTCTCTGCTGACTTCAAGAGTGAGTCCGAAGACGGTGAATGAAGCCGTCAAAGGTCTGCTCAAATGGAGAAGCGAGAAATCGAAGACAGAGAAGCCACAACTTCTCGAGCAAGACGAGTTCGTCTACCTCTTCTCTACCTTGAAGAAGATTCCCCAGACGAGCCGTATGAACGCTCACCGTATCCGTATACCTCATCCTCTCATCAATCCGGCGGAAGTTTCGCCGGAGATTTGTCTCATCGTTGACGACAGACCTCAAAGTGGTCTCACAAAGGAAGATGCGAAGAAGAAGATCAAATCTGAGAACATTCCGATCACTAAGGTTCTTAAGCTCTCTAAGCTGAAGACTGATTACAGACCGCACGAAGCGAAGCGTAAACTCTGCGACTCTTACGATATGTTTTTCGCTGATCGGAGAGTGATTCATTTGCTTCCGAGGTTGATTGGTAAGAAATTCTTCAAGAGAAAGAAGATTCCTTTGGCGGTTGATTTGAAGCACAAGAACTGGAAAGAGCAGATGGAGAAAGCTTGTGGGTCTGCTATGTTCTTTATGAGGACAGGGACGTGTAGTGTCATCAAAGTTGGGAAATTGTCGATGAAAAGCAACGAAATTGTAGAGAATGTGATGGCGACATTGAATGGAGTCGTTGAGATCTTGCCTGGTAAGTGGAACTATCTTAGGTCTTTGCATTTGAAGTTGGCTGAGAGTTTAGCATTGCCTATTTATCAGTCTGTGCCTGATTTGAAGCTCAAAATCGATGCGTTTGAGACCGAAAAGAGTCTTGTTAAGGAAGAGAAGAAGAAAGGTAAATTTGTTGAAGCTGTTGTTGATGGTAGTGAGAAGAGTGTTTCAGTGAAGGGAAAGAAGAAGAAAGGTAGGATTCATGAGGTTAGGTATATGGATAGTAATGTATCTGAGGTGCTTGATGAAGATGAGATCGCTGATGTTGAGGTTGACAATGAGATTGTTGAGTCTGGGG